TCGCCAGCATCGGAACGTGCAGTACCGCAATGCCGTGTGTTCCATTGCAGTACAACTTGGGTCACGACTTAATGACCAAGGACAAATGTGGGTCCTGAGGTTAACCACTATTATAGGTAATCTAGAAATGTAATTACGGCTTAGATGTACCCTAAAAAATATCTACCTTTTGTTTAAAATTCATCCTGAAAGATTGCAGTGTGTACATTCTGTTCCTTGAGCCTCATAGCTGTGTACCTTCTGTGTGAGATTATCTAATACACTGCTGCCTCTGACTGCAAGCCTCAAGGGATTTGATATCAGATTTGGAGATATCACTACAGTCCTGCTCTCTGTTCTCCTTGCTGGAGGGTAAGCTGCAGTGCAAGCATCTCCTTGTGTTTACTTCATTCTGTGGAGCCATGCCTTACCAGATATTAGGGGGGACGCTCTGACATGAAGTAGGAAAGCACTGTCCTCAACCAAGATGACTGCTACTACATAGACACAGTGTGGAACAAAACATAGTAGGTCAGCAGAAAAGATCATCTAAAGGGAGCCTATAGGCAGTACCCGTGACTAGTCCCTTGCCCTCTACTGGCCTTTTTTGGGGTACAGCTTCCACAGTACAGTATTATTTTGTATGCACCTCACAATAATTGCCTGCAAAAGTCATTATTCTAATCATTTTCATAATTATTTGACTTGAAATTGAGGTTCACATTCATCTTGTGTGCTGAACCCACCACCCCATGCCCAGTGTTATTCTTTGTGGTTGCACCCCTGGAGTGCCTTGTGTATTTTTGATACTATCAGACTGTGTGATGGAACATACTGTTTGGATGTTATTTTTTTAATTTTATTTCAAAATCTATATCCTGTTAAAAGCTTATCATGACTATAAAAAAAACATAAAGCTACAGGCAAAGTGACCTCTTAATTCATAGTGTAGAGTGGTTTGTTCTTGTAAAATGATACTTTATATATAGTTAAGAGCTATGATATGCTATATCTGTGTTTTAACAAGTAACACTTGCCTTCTTAACCCAGTATAAGCTCCAGTTTTAAGTCCGTTAGTGCTGCAATTCTTTTATTTCTTGAATGCTTTAATGTAGGCAATTGGGTTCATTTGATGATAGTATATAATGCAGGCTCCAAGTAATCATCCACTTGAAACTTCTTTCTTTCATTGTGTATCTGTTAACGGTTCATTATTGTTCTTGCCAAGTTTTATTAATGATTTCTAATGAACTGATGGCCTTTAGCCTCAAAAATATTGCTCCTGTCCATGAAATGTATCTTTTGTAAGTAAGCTAAGTAAGCAACATTTAAAGTGAAAGTTCAAGTAAACAGCCACAATATGCAGGAAAAATATATATTTCTCCTGATTTTCCTGCCCAAAGGACTTGCATCAGTCTCTTGATTCACACTCCCCTGCCGCATTACATGGCCGGACAGGTTTGCTATTTTATAATTGCTCTTGGGTCTTTGGACAGTAAATCAGGAGTGCTAAGACTTCTTTTCTAAAGACCATGTAGATCAGGGGTCTCAAACCTCTGGCCCTCCAGCTGTGGTGAAACTGCAAATCCCACGATGCATCTCTCTTTGGGAGTCATGTCTGTGGCTGTGAGAATCTTGCAATGCCTCATGGGATTTGTGGTTCCACCACAGCTGGAGGGCCGGAGGTTTGAGACCCCTGATGTAGATCATGCAAGAAGCCTTAATGTTAAACAAGGTAATCGAGGAGTCCTTATGACAGTGTTGTGTCACACAGGACCTGTGTTAACTGTATCGGTATGACATCAGTTTGAAATGCTTCTGAGATCATTTAGAATTCAGTGACAGGTCCGTTTAAACTGCAGTTGACATCCTGGCCTGCTTTAAGCTGCCCATACACCTGACGATTATCGTACGATAATCGCGGGTGATCCCGCGATCGTACGATAATCGTCAGGTGTATGGGCAGCGTGCGACCGCATATACTGTATGGTCGCACGACTTTCGTCTTACGAGCACGCTAGAAAACCCGGCAAAAATCGTACAATTTTCGGAGGGTTGATAGCGCGATCGCAAGACAAAATCCGCGCAGGCCGAGGTGCGCAGGCGCACATTGCTCGCTCACCATTGCAATCGTCTGAAAGCCCCCCTCAGCGGGGAGGACTTGCGATGATCGCAAGTACGGTCTGCCTGTCCAAGAAGGGCAGGTAATACGAAATTTTAATCACCTTACAACCATCACACAACGAAAGTCGTGTGATGGTTGTAAGGTGTATGGGCAGCTTAAATCAGACTTTGTATCGCCGATAGACTTGTATGGTAATGTAAAATCTGTTTGGCACACACTGAAGCCCATCAACATAGACCTTAAAAAGACTGGTTGTGCACAAGTACAAATCACTTTGGCAGAAACAAAGGTCACATACATGTGCTTCAGATGAGCATTTAGCTGTTTGTCTGGGGTTACGTTTTAATTGAAAGATTTTAAAAAGCTGTGATCGATGTTTGTTGTTTATTGCTCTTTTCATCAGCTGTTCCACTAACTTTTGCAGTTATCTGTTATTTCCGTCCTACTAGAAACAAAAAAGAGGAACTTATTTGTGTATTTAAATAGATCTGTACATTACAAAGAAACCTCCCAGCAGATATTTGGTGCATTGTCTGTCCCCCAGTAGGTTGCAGTATGGAAGTCTAGATTTAGAGATTGTTCATGTAGCCGTTCTCCATCATCCCAACAAGTTATACAGCACAGGAAGCTTACTGTACCTACCTTTCTGTAGGGCACAATAGTGATCTGCTTGTATATAGTAGTAGATTGCTTTGGCAATAACTAGGACTGAGATTCATTGGTATTAAAGGGAAGAAAGACAACTTTGAAATGATTGCCAAAGCCATCATATTGGCTTGCCTGAAAAATGTATTTATCTGTAAGTGTTGTAGGTGTTCATGCTCAAATGTAACTCTGCAGTTCTAATACATTTAATGTTGAAAAGTATACTCACAATCTTTTGAAAGTTTTTTGATAGACAAAACTAATGGACTTTCAAGGTGTATTAGAGTAGATAACCATCAACATATGTAAAATGTACAATATTTATTAGATCATTAAAAAAAAAGAAATCATTCCATAAAAACAAACAAAAAAAAAGAAATTTTCAAGTTAGATCCACAAAAATAAGCCAAGTACATGGCACCAACCGCTCAGTTGTCTTACAAAGTATATATAGTACAGCGTTCGAGAAGATTCCGCCAATCATAAAACTATAAGTATTTAACATATGAAGACAAGAAGAGCTTGGGGTAGTGCTGTATGCAAGTGAGACGTTTTGCAGCTTTTTAACTGCTTCTTCAGACTTTTTGTCCATTAGCGGTATCGCCTATACAATGAATATACCAGAAAGACCAAGTACCACCCCTATGATGTCACTATGAAATCATGTCCCACCATAATTCAAAAAAGAAAAAAAGAGATCATGCTGAAAAGCACGAACAAAAAAACATAAAACACCCTCATATGCTCAAATATAAACATACCTATTGTTGTTGTGTTTCAAATATATGTGAACGGAGGGGGGGAATGCTGCCCACGCTGTCAGTTGCAGAGGCGTCCCCCGTTCCCATGGTAGCAGGGCACTGTGGCTCTGTCTGTCTCCAAAGCAGGGGGATCAGAGCCTGTCACACATGCATAGACCGGGCAATCCGTTTCATCAGTTGCTAGGCAGAGGGCAGGTAAGCAAAGGTCCAGATCTCTGCTGCCTGTCTGCAAGGAACAGCATGGGGGAGAGATGAGGGAAACCAGGAGGAAGATGGGGGGAGGAAGGGATGAAACACTGATATTCCGCATTTCCAGGTAGGGAGCGAGCAGTATATGTTTTGCAGGCTCAAGGAGCAGCTGCCTTGGGCCCCACATCAATGACTGGGCCCAGGGTAACTGCCCCTTTTGCTCTGCAGTAAAGACGGCCCTGGAGAAGGATGCGGTGTATTTTATATATGTCTGTTGCTTTCCTTATTACCGGTATGTATCAACTTTTAAAAGTTGTATCTGTTACCTACAGTATCCCGTTTCATTAGGTCTGCTGGTAATGTAGGTCACAGTTACTAGTTAAACAAGAATATTTCCCACATGTTTTATGTACAGTTGACACAGCATTTCTAATGGCATTTCCTCTAGGGCACCATCAGTACTGCTAGAGCTTATATACTGTACATATTACAAGCAAAATAGGCAATAATAATTTAGAAAGTTGATCATCTCTCTGCACTGCGTTACTGTATGTTTATCAGAAAGGTGGAGCTAGTTTATTAGGGATGAAGTCACCCCTATGTGTTGTGCTAATGTATGCGTGCCACTCTGTGTTACTATACCATTTGTTTTGATTGGCACCCCAACACACAAGTACAGTAATGCTGAGCAATGTGTGCTGCAGTGTGTTGCATTGAAAATTTGTTTCTGTTCTGGTTTTGCTGAGTTGTGGTGCATTGGCAGCCCATTCAAAGTGAACACTGCAAGGGTCGAAAATAAAGGAGATATACTCACCTTGCAGCAGTGACTGCTCACCTCACTCCCACTCCACTCCGGCTGTGGTATGTCCCATTGGTAGCCTCACGTCTGATAGGCCTGTATTGGACCTTAAGCCTCCAGAGCCCAGGGAAGAGTAGGCTGCAGGGACCGGTCTAGCAGCCAGACAGGATCGAGGATGAGATGAGTATATTTCCTTAGAATCATTTCCCCGTAATAGAACCAGAGGGGGGTGGGGGGGTGGGGGGGGACTAAAATGTTTTCTGATTTGTTTTAGCAGAAAGTATTTGCAAGGTTATATAATGAAGCAGGTGACCTATGACACTCCCCCGCCAATACTTAGGCACTGCATAAGACACAAAGTAAATAAAGCTAAATGATAGGGAAATGTCAGCCTCCCATATACAACCCTGCACAGTGTAAATCAGTGCTAAATCTTTAAAACACTGCACCATTTATGTCCAGTTATGAATGGTTCTCTTTGTTTTTTCTGTATTGGTTCTAGGTGGCATCTCTGGCTGGCCCTGGTGGACAAGTGGAAATAGAACAGAATTTCCTGAACAAAAAACTGAAGACGTTGACTGTTTATTTTGGAGATTTAATTCGAAAACTAAATGCTTGAAGGTTTCTAGATGCTTGAAGGTTTTGTCCTCATCAGAAAAAAGGGGATTCTGTATCCTTGTTATATTTTCTTTTAATTGCTCTGTATTTAAACTGACAGTCTAAGATTGTATAGTAATGGGTTAAGAAAACAAACCAATTTGGGATCTTGTAACTCAAATCATTTTTGTATGAAAGCGGAACTCAAAGCTTTTGACGTACTTCAAAAATGAATGTAATCTTTTGGTTTACCTATACAAGTGTAAATGAGTGTGTGTTGTCTGGAGCAGGTTATACTACCTAGCGCATATTACGTGTGGAAAACCCATCTGACTGCTGCAGGCAACACCACTGTTTCTCTTTACTCCCCACCACAAAGTCTGTAACATTTCATGCAGTTAAGCAATGCAACTTTGGATAACAAATATTATCGTTCTTATACAGTATACATCTTAAAAGGTCTGTGATATCTATGGTTTTAGTCAGTACCACCATCCAGAGAAAGATGACAAAGTGATAAATACAGTAAAACAGAGGTGTATCTAATATAAAATGTGCCTATGGCGTCCTGCCCAGCTCCTGGTAACCAGTGACATCACTGCCAGAGCAAAAACTAGTTGTCTCAATGGGTTGGCGCCCCACCTCAAGTGGTGCCCTGTATACACCACTGCAGTAAAGCAAGGCAAGTTAACTTATTTGGTTATATTATTGGAATTCATATTTTGTGCAGTACACAATACCCTTCTCTTTACTGAGAAGATCAGTAATGCCTTTATCTTGTAAAGCCCTTTACCATGCTTATGATGATGGTGAATCTGTATTTTGCACAGATAGATATGATAAAGGTACTTTTAAATACAATCCATTATACCACCCTTCCTCTCCCTCTTAAGCCTAGTCTTCGTACCTACTGCTTACTTCAGATGTAGACTTAAACGGATAACCACAGTCTACCTACCCCAAGCCCCTGGCTTTGTTTATATAAATGGCAGCACTTCTCTGGCCACAACTAGAGAGCACTCCATTTATCCGTGTCTAAGGTGGCCATACACCTATAGATTATCTGCAGATTTTCTATGGTCAGATGGAAAAAGTGCAATAGATTTCTCCATCTAAACTGTGTGTCCACTGGGCCAAGCTTCAGTATCTTGCTAGTCGGCCCCGCGGACTTTCCAAATACCTGAACAATGCCTGCATCCAATAAGAATGTTCAGGTATTTTGAGAGCCGACTAGCAAGATACTGAAGCTTGGCCAAGTGGAAGATTCCTCCATCCACACAGTTTAGATGGAGGAATCTATTGCAATACTCTCAAAATAACTGAACAATCTTATTGGATGCAGGCATTGTTCAGGTATTTAGAGAGCCAGCGGGGCCGACTAGCAAGATACTGAAGCTTGGCCCAGTAGAAGATTCCTCCATCCACATATTTTAGCTTAGATGGAGGAATCTGTTGCACTTTTTCCATCTGACCATAGAACATCTGCAGATAATCTTTAGGTGTGTGGTCAGCTTTAGAGTCTTCAGTAGGTATAATGATTATGCTCAGAGTGGGGTAGTTGGTGCACTTTACTTGGAAGTACACTAAGGGGCCTATTTATAATGATCTGTGGTTTCCCCTCTGTGCACACTGGAAGACATTGCTGGAAATGATCCTCACTATGCTGGAATTTAACATTTTAGTCATAAAATGCAGAGCTTAACGTGAAGGCTCTCATGTCATGTGGCGTGTTCTCTACATAGCTCTGCAGAGAATGACCACAGAAAAAAAGTGTGCTGGGAAAAGGAGGAAACCAGTCACATGACCTTAAAGCAGGTCTTCACAGCACACTTTTTTTCCCCAATTCATTGGAATTGTTTGTTTCAAACTCCCGAAGCAAGTAAAGGACAAACCACATTTATGAAGTACACAGCAATGTTTTATAAATGGGTCCCTTGTTCTTGACTGTAATGTAAAAATGTTTTGTTATATTTAAAACTCTTTGTTCTTACGTGAAAATTGTTATATTTGATAATAAAACAAAGTTTTGCATTGATTTCTAGTAATCAGAGGTGTGTTTTTTAAGGAACAGTGCACCCAAAATGGATATTTCTAATGGAACTCCACCCAAAGCTGAAGTCCGGGATAAGCATATATTCAGTCTAAAGTGTTATTCTTCTAATGGTGTTTTGTGCAATTCTTCTAGATCTGTGCTGGAATCCATCATAAAACATTTATTTGTGCAGGAGCTTCCTGTCACTGCTGCTCCCTCTTTGTGCAGGGTGACTGGTCTTGTAGTGGGTGGGTAGTTGGGGGCCCCTCCTACAGCTCTGCACAGACTATATGCAGCATAGTGATTATGTCTCTGCTACTTATATAAGGTGGTATCTGGCTTTCAAAGGCATTTGGTGGACACAAAGTAGATTCCCATAATTCCAGTGTTGCAGAATCCTCAGCATTCTACACTTCTGGAAGTGTCCTATGCCTCTGGTCCCTACAATAACTACAAGACTTTGTGAGGTGGGGGACACAGTCATCCAACAGACCATTCTGCTGGAGTCTGCAGCGTTGGAACAGAGGGGGGTTAGGAGGCACAAGCCACCAGAGAGGTGAGTTTACTAGCTCTTCTATTGCAGGTTGTTTTGAAGAAAACCCTCTAAAATATGTGGTCTGCCATTGTTGACCCTTTTTTTCTAAATTTCCTAATTGCCTGGCTGTCATGATGATCTACTAGCGTCCTTATTTTCCGATTTATTCAGTATGCTGCTGAGGAGTATGGACAGTATTTGTATACATCCAGGTCAGCCGCAAAAAGCATTTTCAAAAGCTGGCCAGCTTTTCTCAGCACCTCTTTGTTGCATCTCTTACGACTCTGGTCTTCGGCTTTGAACTCAGAGCTGCTATGGCCATTGCAAAAGGGGTACTACTCTGCCTTTTGGACTTTTATGGACCAGAGAATGCACTGGGTTATTGACTTATTAAGTATTGAGTCAACTAGCATTTTCAGAAGGTCAGCTAAGTCAGCCTTCATGTTTTATATCAAAGCCTTTTACTCAGGAGCTCTTTTAAAGAGGTTATTCCCGTTACATTTCCTTGTGAGCATAGAGGAAATCTCCCTAACTGTACATTATACTTAGCAAAATTAATGTGTACACATGACAGGTGAATATTTTGTATCCTTTTATTTCACAATGGCTAATTTTAAGGAAATTATAATAAAAGGCAAATGAGTGCAAAGATAAACAAGCTGATAAGTAACGGACTCTGACCTAAGAAATTCCCAGTGTGTTTCCATGAGCCTGGCCTTGTGCAGGGCATTGAGCCAGACTACATTTCAGAAGTTGTTTTCAATATGTTTTTATTTTGGAGCTATCATTAAACTAGAAGTGCTCCTGTGCCATCACCCCTGACCTTGGTGTAGACTACAAGCGGCTGTACTGACCCACATCGCCCTGACATGGATCATCAATGTCACTATCCGGAAGATGGTCACGAGCAATGATGTACCCCTGCGTCCTAATTCAAGCACAAGTACACAAGAAGTGACTAAAAGAGATTAGCTGCACTGGGAAAAAGAGGTGAAAACTGTATTTATTAAAATAAAATGGCAACGGTTTATAATACACACTACTATTTAGGTTCAGAGCAACTTTAGTAATTCAGTGTTTATGGAATTTTAGTTCTTGGGTTTAGATTTGCCTTAAATGAGCACCACTAAATGTGACCTAAATGTGACAAAACATCAAAGGGCAAAGAGCAAAACGTATTTCAGGAATGTGTAAAAATCTGAGCGACAGAACAACCACCTGATTACCTTTCCTGGAATTTCCCAGATGAAATACTTCCTTATTCAGAGCTTAAAGGGAACTAAACTGAAAAAGTAAAACATTGTGAGCAGGCAGACTCTTTACTGCAGAAGCCATGCTTTGTCTCTTCTACAATAAAACAAGCTTACCTGCATGGTTCAATCAGCGGTAGTTAAAAAAGAACACCTGAACGAATTGCGGTAATCGACCGCACGTATTTTCGTTTGCGCATAAGCAGTGTTAATCGTACGACTTAACGTACGAAAATACCACCAACCTTGCGAAAATCGTACGATCGACTTAGGTTTTCTATCATGCAGGAAAGACAAAAGTCATACGATTGTACTGTACTGGCGGTTGCACACTACCCATACACCTTACAATTTTCGTACGAAAGCCGATCGTATACGATTATCGTACGATCGTAAGGTGTATGGGCACCTTTAGAATAACATACTGGAAGCTTTAAAAGGAGGGTGGTGCTTGAAATCACTGCTCGGTTAACCATGGTTACCTGCAAAGAAACACGTGCACAAAAAGGGATTTACAGGCAAGGATATTGCTGCTACCGAAATTGCACCTAAATCAACCATTTATCGGATCATCAAGAACTTCAAGGAGAGAGGTTCAATTGTGAAGAAGGCTTCAGGGCGCCCACGAAAGTCCAGCAAGTGCTGGGACCGTCTCCTAAAGTTGATTCAGCTGCGGGATCGAGGTACCAGCAGTGCAGAGCTTGCTCAGGAATGGCAGCAGGCAGGTGAGAGTACATCTGCACGCACAGTGAGGCGAAGACTTTTGGAGGATGGCCTGGTGTCAAGAAGGGCAGCAAAGAAGCCACTTCTCTCCAAGAAAAACTTCAGTGACAGACTGATATTCTGCAAAAGGTCCAGGGATTGGACTGCTGTGGACTGGGGTAAAGTCATTTTCTCTGATGAATCCCTTTTCCGATTCTTTGGGGGAACTGGAAAATCCCTTGTCCGGAGAAGGAAAAGGTGAGCGCTACCATCAGTCCTGTGTCATGCCAAGAGTAAAGCATCCTGAGACCATTCATGTGTGGGGTTGCTTCTCAGCCAAGGGAGTGGGCTCACTCACAATTTTGCCTCAGAACACAGCCATGAATAAAGAATGGTACAAAAACATCCTCCAAGAGCCACTTCTCCCATCCATTCAAGAACAGTTTGGTGATGAACAATGCCTTTCCCAGTATGATGGAACACTTTGCCATAAGGCAAAAGTGATAACTAAGTGTCTTGGGGAGC